GACGTCAAAACATATAAATGAGATAATTAAATAGAAGAATTAATGCCAATTTTTCTAAATTTATTTCAATTATTCAGTTTTCAAATATTTTCATTTTTTTACCATATATATATAATATTTAAATATAAACTTTAGATAAAAAGAAAATTAAATTAAATATTAACTATAAAACAATTGAAATTTAATTGAAAAAAAATCCTTAGCAACCATTGCCTAAGGAAAAAAAAGTTATAAAAATACAATAAATAATATTAAATAACGATTAAATATTTTTTTTTTCGAAGCTATAAAAATACAATAAATAATATATAGATATATATATATATATATGGAATGATGAAAGAGTGAGTGCAAGTCTTGAAAATGAAAAACGAGTTTAGAAACTGTAAAGTCCCTTCATACCAATCTCTTGGGTAACCAATTCTGGGTTATTATATTCTGCATGCCTGCACAGTGGTCACATTGTTAGGTGATGCCAATGTTATTGTTGTTAAATGTTGCTCACACGTGTGTCGCTGATCGAAAGGTCCAACAATATATGATGCAATATATGACTGCACCTAAACCTTCATTCACTTTGTATTACACAAACTCTATAGCTCTTTTATATATATATATATATCTCTGGTGTATATACACTATATTATGCACAATTACATGACATAACTCGAAACATTGCACTCACGTGCAAATAAGAAACGTGCGATCTTGTAAAACTATTTTAAATTATTATATATTATAATGAAAAAAAATTTATTTGATTTGGATAATTGACTGTTATCAAATAAATATTTATATCAAATAATTACTATTTAGAATGATATTTGTTTTAAATATAAAAATTATTGTTTTAAACACAATTTATTTAATTCAATTATTTGATTTCGAAAATTATTTGTATTTATTAATTCAAAAATTAATTTTTATTTCAATAATTCGTTCTTATTTTAAGAGTAAATATTTTATTCTAACTTTATGAATAAAATACATGGAAAATATTTTTAAATAGTTGCTAAGAAGATATTTTTATATATTAATTTTTTTTTTTTTTTAAATTTAGAATTACGTTTTTTTGAAAAAAAATTATCTATATTGAAGCTACATATGTACTACATTAAATAGGTCAAATAAATTATGGACTGGCAATTAAAAAAAAAATAAACTTAATCACCTCATATATAAATAAAAAAAAAAAATTAAGCTATTTTAAAATGATCTAAATTGTCGAAAATATATAAATTTCTTTTTTTAATGTAAGATATCGCGAAATTGGTACTCTTTCTTTTTAAATTGTATCAAAAATTATTATACGTGAAACTAGGCCAATCTTCTAAAATACAGATAAGATTTATTACATGTTATTTAAAAAAAATATTGGTCTTTTGTAATTCGAACATAAATGTTTTACGGTTTTTAATAAAGATTATATAATTATCTTTATATACACAAATTTTGCGAAATTCTCTAATTCCCTCGTAAATTGTTGATAAATTTTTTTTTTTTTTTTAATCATTATATTGAAATATTGTTTTACGCAAACACAATTGCAATATATATATATTTTTTTTAATTTATACGTATAAAAATATTTTCTACATAAATTTTTTATTACAATAATTTAGTCTTCATTAGTAATTCAATTAACATTATTATTAAAATTTAATTAAAATATCTTATTTTATTATTTTATAATAATAAAATAATTATTGTTTTTATAAAAATACGCTTTTTGTATATTATTTAATTAGAAATAGGAAATTACTTTAAAATTAATTAAGCTACTAATTAAAAATTTCGAATTTAACTTCACAATAAAGATTTTGTATTTATTGAAAATTATGTTAATGAAGCATTTGTAAAACAATGCTTACTGTAAAGTATTCTCTTTTATTTTTAAAGTGAATACCGTCTCCATCTAACGAGAATTTTTGGAACACGAGCAAGTCATTTTTTGATCAACAGGTACAACAACTTTTTTTTTTATCAAATATATTCAGACTCGATATTTAAATAATTAATTAAATTATTAATCAGTTATAATTGTTTAATAATTAATTGTAAATTATAATTACAATTTTAATTCGATTTAGAAAAATTAAGTTAAATGTCGTATTAATTAATTAATTAAAAGAATTCTAATTTTTCTAAACATAATTAAAAATTATAAATGAAAAAAGTTGTAAAAATTAGATAAAAATTAATTTAAATATTTTAAGGAAGAATAAATTAATAATTAAATATTTATAAAGCTGTATATAAAAAATTGTGGAAAAAAAATTTATATGAACATTGATAAAAAATCTAAGATTTCAAAAATGAGGTTGCTCTTAATCTATAATTAATGTTAAAACTTGGTTATATTACGAAATAATGAAGGGGGAAACGAGTAACACATAATTTTAATTTATTCCAGGAACATAAAATCTTTAAAATGAGTGTTTAGCAAAATTTATTCTGGGTCACCATATAACTGAATTAATATACTCGAAAAAAAAAATTTTATTGACTAATTCTTTAACAAGAATTCTTTTATTGAAAAAAAAATTATTTTTATTATTGAAATTCTCTTCCATTTTTAATTATTTCATTGACAATATCATTTTTATTAAAATTTATTTGAAAATAAATAATTTAAATCAACTATATAAATTTATTACCATACAGTTTATTTATTTATTTATTTAAGTACACGGGTTTTAAAAGAACCCTTGAAATATAAAAATATAAAAGATATAATGAAAAAATTAACGCACCAAAGCACTCTCTTACAACAAATTGTCATTCTTTTGTGCGGTGAATAGGAAAAATTTTAAATTTGTTTTGAAAGAAATCAAAGAGATACAGTTAATCAAACTTTTGGTTGAATCAATAAAAATTTTATATAGTTCAATTAAATTCTTATTCTTTGTTCGAAAAATTTATTAAAATAAAGCCGATCGTTTATTTCGAAAAAATATTTGTTTGAAGATATTTACTTGATTCAAACAAATTATTTTATTAAAATAAATTTTTATTTGAACCTAATAAATATATATATATATATTTGAATCAAACAAATTTTGTTTGAAATAAAAAAAAATTTAATACAAAAAACATAAATTTGGCTCAAAAAAAACGTTTGTCTAAATTAAATGAATAAAAAATATTATAAGTAAATAAAATTATAAAATTTTCTTGAAATTAGTAATTATTGGTTGAAAAAACAAATAATATTGATCGCATATTCTGTGGATTTTAATTATCATTAAGAAATGCATATTTCAAAAGCTTGAACAAATGACCAATCAATTTTTATTTACTAAGTACTCAAAATATATAGGTGTAGATATATTAGAAGGGTTGTATTATAAGATTGACCACAAAGGCGCAGACGCCATGACCGATGACCACATTGTGTAGTCCTTTCCCTATAGAACTAACTTACAACCCCCCAACTTCACATAGAACTCGAAAATTTAACATCCCCATATTTTCCTTCTAGTGACCGGCAAAGCCGTCGTATTATATCCAGGTGTATATTTGTAAAAAAAAAAATAATAATTTTTAACATTTGCAAAAATTCTTTTTTGTAATCTATCATAAAAAAATTAAATTTTTAAAATTCAACCGTTTTTTTTTTTAAATAAAAGTAAATTTGATAAGTAAATAAAAATTAAGTCACGAAACTCTGTTCATGCTCAGTTGGGTGAGTAAACTTTAAAAAAATATATTTTACAATTTTTGTATTTATTTTATTATTTATATATTTTATTTTTTTATATGTATTAATAAAAAAAATTTTATTTATTATATTTATTTATTACATATGTATTTATTTTTTGTTTTCTTATTAAATAACTTTATAATTTAATTATAAAAATTAATTAATAATTAAATATTATTATTAATTTTCAATAATTGTATTATTTATTAACGTAAAATAAGAACAAATTATTTTTTTTTTTTTAATAAGAAAAAAAAATATAAATAATTTTTTAAATTATTAAAAATTTTATTTAACGAAGAAATTTAAGCTTAAAATAATAATCAAAAGAAAAGAATTTTAAAACAAATTTTTTGTTTGGAAAAGTATTTTTACAATCTCTTAATTTTAGTCACGAGAAGAAATTGATTAAATTTTCACTAGTATAAAAAGCAACAGGAGTCATGTAATAGAAAGAATGTTTGATCACATCAACTTGTACTAGCATGAGTGCTAAAGTCAATGTTATATTTTACTAAAGTACAAATAAATTAAACAATTATTATTTCAATTATTAAAACGAATTTAAAAATTTTAATCAATTCAATATATTGATTAAATTTTTGATTAGTGGCTGACTTATTTAATGTACTGGAGTTTACTAATTATTAAAATTTAATTAATCCACTAATTAGATGGATTAAATAACTTATTATTAATTATAATTAGTTAGTTAATTAGTTATAATTACTTAATTAATTAATTACTCAATTAATTACTTGTTTAATTAAGACATTAATACAGAAAATTAATTAAAATTGAAATAAAAAATATTAATCAATAATTACTAATTGAAAATAATGAAAATAATAACATAATTTTAATTTCTTCGTAAATTTCTTTTGGAAATATTTAACCATGTAACAGTATAGTTGACTTTGAGCTAAATTTATCAGCTATTAAAATATTAATGAAAAAAAAAAGAAATCAATAAGTTAACTATATAAAATCTAAAGTTTCCATTTAATCGTTAGTAAACTATTAAAGTCTTCGGTACACGAATCTTTTTTTTTCTCTCTAAAAAGTACAATAATGTGCTTAAAAAAAAGAAATTTAAAAAAATTTTCAAAACAAAAATTATTAAATTAATAACAAATATTATTATATGAGTAAATAATTAATTTTTTTCGACAATTCTGAATTTTTCCTTTTAATTTTTCATGAATATAAGAAAGAAAGAAAAATAAAATTTAAATGTTAAGAAAATTACAAAGCCTTTTTCGATGTGATACAATATGTGTGAATTTTCAAAATGTAGCCATGGAGAAGGCAGAATCATCGATAGATGGAAGTGTTGCCGATCTTGAGGATCGAGATCCAAATAATTTAAATCAACATATTCAGGTATATTTGAAATATGCATAGTTGATTTGAGGAAATTATTTATTTATTGTAATTATCATAATAATTCTAATATTACTATAATAATTATAATAATAATTAAAACGATTTAAATAATTATAATAAATTTTCCGTTATCTTTATTAAAATCCAACTTGAAATTCTAAAAAAAAAAATAACTCTTTCCTTCGAATTTATTTTAAAAATCAATTCTAGCAATTTTTGTTTGTTTGAAAAAAAAAAATCTTACTCAAAGTACCTGTTTGTTTGTTTGAAAAAAAAGAGACAATATGTGAATAGTTCTCTTAAATTATTTTACCAGGAAGCAATCATATTTTGTACTTTTTATTTTTTTCTTCATGGCAATTTTTTTTTCTCATTGAAAATAATTGTTATTGATTTCACTTTACTTTTATTTTCTGAAAATGTCACAGAACATAGATTACAAATAGATATTATAATCCCTTATGAAAATTCCTTATAAGAAAATAATGTTAAAGCTTAAATGTTTTCAGTATAATGTTTTTTCTATAATATTTTCGCAATTATATAGGTAATTTTTTTATAAGAAATTCATTATAAAATTTTTTTTCTCAAATAATTATAAAAATATAATTATTAGAGACTCTGTAATGAAATCATTACAATTTTATAATTATGAAAATGTAATTATAGAAAATAAAATTTTTTACATGCAAAAATTAAAATATTATAAAATTAAAATTATAATAATTTAATTTAATTTTTTTTAATTTTTTATAATTTTATAATGAATTTCTTATAAAAAATTACCTATAATCGCGAAAATATTATAGAAAAAACATTATACTGAAAACATTTCGGCTTTAACATTATTTTCTTATAAGGAATTTTCATAAGGGATTGACCACTGTATACAGAAGGGATGATGATTTATTATTATCAATTAGAAAAATTTACTTTAAGGTAACGTGGGACGATATAATCGGAGAGCCTGAAGGAATTCGAAGTCCAGAATGTGCTTGGAGATTAAGTGGTCATTGTTTTCGATTATCACGAGGCTTTTGGTATATTCTTTTGTCTGTACTAATTGCTCCTTTGGTTGCCCTTTGCCTTGGTATCACCTTTGCGTGTCTAACATTCACGGTAAGACACACATTGTTCATATATATATATATATATAAATTAAACAATTTTCTCTCAAAATCAATATAATATTATATGTTAGACCTTCAATTTTTCTTTTATTGATACATTTTCAATTCAATAAAAATTCTGATGATGGAAAATTACTGTTCATAAAAAAAAATAGGTCAAAATAACTAATAATTAAATTAAATTTTTTATTTATAATAATTAATTAATTTTGAATTAATAATTAATTAGTAACTAATTAATTATTAGTAATTTATTTATTTTTTATTTATTAATTAATTAGTAACTAATTAATTATTAGTAATTTATTTATTTTTTATTTATTAATTAATTAGTAACTAATTAATTATTAGGAAAATAAATAATTTGTCATTAAAGGTATTAAAGAAAAAAATTTTTTAAATTTAAATAATTTTTACATTTTACAGCAAGTTTGGTGCTGCGTTCCTTGTGTTAGAATTTTTCGAATAATCTTTACACCGATAAGAGTCTTCATTACAATAATAATTCAAGCAATATTGCGTCCAATTTTTGAGGCGATTGGATATTTATTTTCTAATATAAGAATATTCAATCAAAAACTTCCTGATGGACCTGATCGCAAAGATGATATGCTTTTAATTTGAAATTATTTATTTATTTATTTATTTCATGTGCCTTTTCTCTCTGAAATCGAATTAGTTTGAATTTCGAATTTTCTATTATTATTATTTTTGTTATTATAATAATTTCCAAAAAAAAAAATTATCTTTTATAAAAACAAAAATTGTCAATAAAAACTAATTCGAATTTTAGAGGATCTATTATAAAAACACCAAAATAACTTCCATAGATTTTTTTTTTTTATATAAATTAAGAATAAAATTCGAATTGTATATATTATCATTATTATTGTGAATTATTATTATTTTTTTCGATAATATATGATTCATTATATAAGTATTATAATGACAATTGAAATATAAAGTTATTATAAATTATCGCATTGAAAACGTATTAAAGAAGAAACGATTAAGAAATTTGCATATTTTATACAAAATTGCAATGCATTGCAAATTCTTTTTTATTCTTTGAATTCTTATATAGAGAGCATTGAAATTTTTTATTACAGTTTACGAAAAAAAAATTGATTGGAAAAAAATGAAATACATAATTAATTATTATAAATAATTATAAAAATAAATAATTATTATTAATCGTTTTATTATTATTTTTTTATTAAATAAATTTTTTTTTTAATTCACTAATTTAACTATTTTTAATCGAATTTTTATTTTCTTATTCGCAATAAAAAGAAAATTAAATTATATAAAAATTAATTGTACAATATTCCTTTAATTCTGATATTGTCCTGTGAAATATTATTTACAAAATATTTTTATTTATAAAATATAATAATACTCATTCTGAGATTCCTTCTGATTTATAGTATTCATGGAAAACATTTTATAACATATATACCTATATAATAATTATTGAATAAAATTGAAAAGAAATGAATTTCACCTGAAATTCAAGAGTGCAATTTTATATTTAAATTCTTATAATTAATTTTTTTTTTAAATACAATCAGCAATTGTTGTACACATTGATTGCGAAAGAAGAAGAAAAAAAAAGAAATTCTCCCCCTCAATAATAAACACCAGGTTCTTTTTAAATACAATTTTATTGCACGTCAAGACATCAGTTAACTTTGTGATCTCGTGAACGATTTTTAATTAAGTTTTTTTTTTTTTTTTTAAAGAAAAAGGAATTTAATTTTTAAGAAAACATGAAGATTTTAATTTTGACTCTTTTGGGACTTGCTCTCACGGAATCAGCTGCAGTGCCAAAAAATGTAATTGAAAAAAATGATAAATTTGAAAATAAAATTAATAATGGTGAAATAATTGACAAGACAAAACGAGAAATTAAAAAACAAGAATTATTAACAAAAATTGATAGTGATAATTTAAAATTTGATGGAAATAATTTGGAATCAGTTGAACGTGAGAAGAAAGAATGTCAATTTATAAAAGGAGCAACAACACCACCAACGAGAATTTGTGTTCAATTTAATGGACCAGCAGCGACAATGTATATTTGTGATGGCAATGACAATTCTCCTAATTCTTTAAATTCTCCATCATCATATTATATTGATCCTTCATCATCTTCTTCTTCTCCTTCATATTCATATAATCCATTATCTCTTTACGGTACATTACCACAATCTCCAAATCCTATACAATATCTTACATCTCCTTATTCTAATCTCTATTCTCAAAAACAACAAATATCTTACTATCCATCGATTCAGGAAACACCAGGAAATTATATTATTCGTCCTTCATATCGTTTCCCTGGAAATTATTTACCTGTAGATGAAACCTCTAAAAATGGATGGTGTCCATGTCCAGATAATTCAATTTCCAATCTTATTGGTTCATATTATAGAACAGGCAATTCAGAAACGGTGAGTGATACTTAGAATTTAAAAATTTTATTTTTCCCAATAAACAAAAATTTATCGTTAGCTATATTGTGAACTAAATTTTTAATCTTGAATTTTGTTTAATCAGAATAAAATTTTGGGATTTTTTTTTTTTTTTAAAGAAAAAGGAAATTTTGCTTACAGGAACCATTAGCGACACGAACAGAATCATTAAACATTGAAACATCATCGCCTGTAGAAACAGAAAATACAGCATTATCCGGTATATCATCATCTGCAAGAACAGTTGTTTTGCCTTCACAAAATTACAGATTATTGTCAACAAAACCAACTATTATTGGTCTTTCACCATCGAATATTGGCACAACAACGGATTTTTCAAGAAATTCACCAACAATTACAATTAAACCAATTGAAATTGCAACGGGAACACCGCAAATTACTAGTAGACAATACATTCAACCACAACAACAACAACAACAACAACAACAGCAGCAAAATCAATATCGTCTTTTAAATAATTTTCGTACGGCAACAATTCAAGCTCCAGCAACACGAGTTTACAGAGAACTCGATGAAATAAACAATGACAATGAATCATTAATACAAAATTCATCACAATTATTGACGATCAAAAATCAACAAAAAAGATCATCATCGAATCAACAAAAAACTATGGAAAATAAAAAAAAATAATTCTGATGCAATGATGGAAAAATTATCTCACAAAAACAATGTAATTATTTCTTAAACATATAATTTTTAATTGCAAAAAAAAAAATATTCTTTATTCAATAATTATTTAGGTATATATTTATTTTTGTGCTCATTTGTTTCAATGTGTATAATTAAAAAAAATATTTTGATAATGAAATTTGTATAAAAAATGTCAATATTATGAAACAAGTATACAAAGTCTTTAATTTGTATAAAGAAAATACATGTTTTCAATTATTTTAATAACTTGATTTTTAATTGAAATTATAAATTACATTATTTTTTGTTAATGCAAATGAAAAATTTTAATATTTTTAAATTTTAGTTGAGGTATAAAAAAAATTTTTGCTAAACAAAACTAAAATTTTGAATGTTTCTAATTATTTTATATTTAAAAAATAAATAATTTTTTGAAAAAAAAAAAGAAAAATTCAATTTTTCAATCAATTTTTAAAAAATCATCATTTTTCTTTTTGAATCGTCAATTGAATTCAAAATTCATTGCAAATTCGTCATTCTCGCGCCATCTATAAAGTTTATTTCCAAACCGCTTTGCTCAATTTGTCCGCAAATGATAATTTATCGACTTTAGTCATGGTTCCTAAATAAATATTTTAATGAATAATATTTATTATTATAAAATAATATATTATTAAATAATATTTTAATAAATAATATTTATCATTATAAAATAATATGTTATTAAATAATATTTTAATAAATAATATTTATCATTATAAAATAATATATTATTAAATAATAATTGTTTTTATTTATGTTAATTAATTAATTAATTTTTAAAAATATTTAACAAAATTTTTCATTTTACTTTTAAAAAATGATTTATTTATTCAATATACGAAAGTAAAAATATCCCACTTGTACATATCGTACAAATAAAATAAATATTGAAAAATTTTTTGTGACGTAATTTGATTAAATTCAAATTTTCCGCCAATTTTCTAATCACGTGGTCGCACAAAAACAGACGCGCACGCATATCATTTTATCACCCAGAATAATTTTAGCGGTAAAAAAATTTATTATATTTTCCATCATTATATTATTATATTATTAAATTTAAAAATAGGAGAATTTTTTTTTTTTGCGAAATTCTTATATTTTTTTTTTATATCTTTAAAATAAATATTTCAATATTTAAATATAAAAATAAAAGAGTGAGAGAAAAAAATGTCGAGAATATTTTCTCGTCACGTGATTGGTGGAAAATTCAAAATTAACCTTGCGTGCGTCTAAATTTCGTAGGATCACGTGATTACAAATTCATTAATTGGGAGTTCATTTCGTTTGGTCGGCCATATTTGTAAATTTTCAAAGACCACGTTTTTGTGAATTCATTTAATTTCTAAATTTTTCAATTTGAATTTCTAAATTTTTAATTTTACTTTTTAAATATAAGTGAATTTTTATCTTTCGGGAGTGCTCGTATTTCTTAAACCCGCGTTCGAGTGATATATTAATTGTTTAAATTTACTTTTTTTTGTGAATTTTTATAAAGTTATAATTTTAATTCAAATAATTTTTTTTTCAGTATCGGGAGTGTTCGTAATATTTAAAACCGCAATCGCATAAGTAAAAATTAAAAAAAAATTCCATTATTACATTATAAACACGTGGTACGGAAAAATTTAAAAATATTTTTTTGTGCCAATTTTTGATGACACCGTTCGAGAGCCACTTCGTATTGAAAAATCAAAAGGTAGGATTTTGTTTATTATAATATTACTTTATATATTATATTATATTATTATAATTTGTTATTTAATTTTAATTTTATAAATTAATCTCAATAAATACAAAATAATGATTAAAAAAAAAAAGAAAAGAAAACAGGAATATTGATAAACAACAATAAATATGTATTAAGAATTTTAATAATCAATATTGTCAGATATATAATACATAATAATAATTGAGACATTATGGACATAACGTATAATTGGCGCGGTAAGGTGACAAATAATAATCCTCCGTCTCCTATAATAACACTTGTAAGGGTAAATTTTTGTTTTTGCAAAAAATTCCACATTTTCAAGGTTGTTTCTTGTTTTTTTTTTTTTTTAATAAAGGAGGGTTATCTTACTTATTTTTTTTTTTTATAAATATTATTGCTTTCAAATAATTGTTTCCACCACAATCACCACCTTGACCTTTTCCATTTTTTTTTTTTTATTTTTTTCAATTTTTTTTTTTTTTTTTTTTTTTGCCACCTCTCTCGCGGCGTATTATACTATTTAGTCTAATCCCTGATATATAACATGAACTTCGTTCACAATCGTAAAAAAAGAAGAAAAAAAAGATCGTGAGACGAAAATACACAAGTCAAACTCTCCCCTTTTTTTCTGAAAAATTCTATTTTGAAAATTGCACCAATTTTATTTATTTTTTTTTTTTTAATCTCGCTCTCATCTACTTTGTACAACCGTACTAATCAGTATATGCTATTTTGCTTAATAAATATTCGATAAATATATCATTGCATTTTAGTATATATATATATTTTTTTTTATTTATATATTTATATATATATATATATATATCATCCTAATCGTCGTATATATTAGGGTAGTAATAAATCGCACTATATCGTCACCTTTATTGTTACTACAGTCGTTGCTCATTTTTTTAAATAATAATAAACTTGCTATATTTTCGTCCCTTTTCTCGTTCATTTCAAAAATCATTTTAATACGGTTTTTTTTTCTCGCGTGTATATATATATAGGCCTATTTTTGCTTATAAGTATTATGCTATTTTCCTAATTTTTTTTCCGATTACTTTTTTATTATATTTTTCAACTATATATATATATATATTTTTTTTTTTCGCTTCTTTTATCGACCCCAGAGCGATGACTGAAAATTAATTACTATTTTGCAATTTTTATTGCTAATATTTTGAAAATTAAGGTGGTCCGAGACTAACAATATTTATTCATTTACACCACGTTTCAAAATAAAATATTTTATTTTTATTTCAAAAATATTTATTAGAAAAAATTTTTATTGCAAAAAAAAAATTTGTTTTGTAAACAATATTTAATATTTTTTTAATATTAATATTTTTTTTTTTTAGTAATTTTCCAATATTTTTAAAATATTCGGCAGTAATAATTAAATGTTAGAAATATTTTTATGTCTAAATTAAAAAAAAAAGTGTTTTATAACATGGTGTTCGTGAAGAAGAGTTGGACATTATATAAATGTCACTATAGAAAAATGCCTTTTTTTTTTTTTTTTTTACTACCTTACGTAGAAAACCCATCAATTGTATCTCAAGATCAAGAAATTTTTGTTCTTGATCAATTGTCGGGACGAATTTTAATGCACTTTCGGTTCAAGGCAGCTCGAGATGCTATACAAAAATTTTTTTTTTCAGATATCGAATACAATGCAATCAGGATATATTTTTTTTATATAATATAAATATATACCTGATATAACAAAAAATTGAGCGAATTTTTTTTTTCAAAAAAAAAACCTATTATTATAAACTAACTTTGATGACATTGCAAATTATAGCAAAATATTGTGTTTTTTTTTTGCATTCACTTATTCTACATACTCGGTCATCCTTTAGCCTCACAAAAATTAAATTGTCATTGTTTTTTCCTAAAAAAAATATTTTTTTTTTTTAATTTTAATGTAAAAGAGAATAAATTTTTTTTTTTCTAAAAATGAGGTCAAATTTCGCGTGTAATCTACAATTGCTATCCTTAAGTCTATTGACTAATAAATCTACATCCCGTGCGCTTCAAAAATTTCAACGTTATTTTATATCTACAGTTTTTTTTTTTTTTTTTTTGTTCTCTTAAATCTTTAACAATTACGCAAGAAATAATTATTATTATATTTATGCATATCGAACGACACAGTCACAACTTTTTTTTTTCTATTAAGCAAAATAAATCTCGGTGTTGTTATTCTTTTTTCTACTCGCACCCGGACCACCTTTCTTTTTTATCTCCCCCACTTTTTCCATTTCGACAAATACAATATATAAGCGTCGAAATTTTTTTTTTTTTTTTTTTATAGAAAATCAATATAAGCTTTCTTAAAAGCTATTTGTATATTCATCTCTTACCTCAATTTGCTTGGCATCCCTTATTTCCTGCATGGAAATATAGGTCCATATTATCTTACATATAAATGTTTTTTTTTTTTTTTATTGAGTTTTTATGTTTTTAAAATTCTGTCAAAAAAAAAATTTATTTTTTTGCAGTGATTCTATTTATAAGAAATTAATTTTCTTTTTTTAATTTAATAAAAAAAAAGTAAAAACTCGAGTGGTTAAAAAATTTCAACTCTGCAAATGTTTATATATAAAAAAAAAATTTCGGAAATTAAAAAAATTATTTGGAAATTGAAATAAAAAAATTACAATTGTAATTAAAACTTTCCAAAATAGTATAATTTAGTTTTGTGAGCAATTTACAAAAATGGACTTTATTTAATAATTTGTATACTTTTGTGTGTGAATTCGAAATATGTATCTTTGGCACTTTTAAAAGATTTTTCTGTTTTTTTTTTTGTCAATTTTTCAAAATAATATTTTTTAAATGAATACGTCTTTGGCTTCTATTTAATAATAAAATTGAATACTTTCCATAATTGTAATAACTAAATAATATTTTTAAACTAATCAGCATTCTTTAAATAAAAAAAAAAAAACATTTGGATTTTTTTACAATGAATTTTTAAATATTTTTATTTTTAAAAATAAATAATTAAATTTATAACTTTATAGTCATACAAATATATATATAATTATATAATTATTTATATATTATTTATTTATATTTATATATAATATTGCATAACATATTGTGTAATAATATAAATAAATAAATAAATTAATATAGTAAAAAAAGTAGACAATTTTTTATTTATAGAAGTCAAAATATATTCTCAAAATAAGAATATGTAATTTTTTTTTATGCAAAAGTCGATATTTTTTTGAACCACTGAAATCTAAATACGTGCATAATTGCACCGGCACGTATTAATAAAATTTATTTGAAATAATATAATTTATTTACATTCTGCTTCTTTTTTTATCACTATAAGTTTATAATTAGCAGAAATATAGTCATTCTAGCAGAATTAGTTTCGACGTAATGATAATGTTAGCAGTTGTAATAGAGTTAGTAATAGAATAGTACTATACCCATTTTTAATGGTTTTAGTCATAGTATTAGCATTAGTAGTAGCATTTATAGTATAGTAATAGTAGTAGTAGTAGTAGTAGTAGTAGTATTAGTAATTAGTATTAATTAATAGTAATAAGTACTATTTATTTAGTACTAATTAGTTGGTACTATTTATTTAGTACTACTTATTAAGTACTAATTAGTTAGTACTATTTATTTAGTACTTCTCAGTAAGTGCTAATTATTTAGTACTTTGTAGTTAGTACTAACTGTTTAGTACTTTTTAGTTAGTACTAACTGTTTAGTACTTTTTAGTTAGTACTAATTTAGTTAGTACTAATTTAGTTAGTACTAATTTAGTTAGTACTAATTTAGTTAGTACTATTTATTTAGTACTTCTCAGTAAGTGCTAATTATTTAGTACTTTGTAGTTAGTACTAACTGTTTAGTACTTTTTAGTTAGTACTAATTTAGTTAATACTATTTATTTAGTACTTCTTAGTAAGTACTAATTATTTAGTACTTTGTAGTTAGTACTAACTGTTTAGTACTTTTTAGTTAGTACTAATTTAGTTAGTAATTTTTAGTTAGTAATTTTTAGTTAGTACTAATTTATGTAGTACCTTTTTAGTTAGTATTAGTTGTAGTAATTAGCAGTTAGAAATTTACCATTTTTTTTCGCAGTATTATTTGTTTAGTATAGCAGTATTAGTAATAGTACTGGTATTAAGTAAGAATAGTAACAATAGTAGTGGTGGTGGTGACGGTGGTTTACTCAAAATTTTAGTGGTAAACAGTATACATAGTAATAGTAATACCACAGCAGAAGCCAGCAGGAATATTTTCAATAGCATCATATAATTAAAGTCATTAACCTTCTATTATATCGTTACTGTTGTCTAATAGTTTTTTTTTCTTCATCGACTGACAGAATGCCATATTTAATTTTAGTCAACAAAAATTTATTTTTTAATCATTTTTTTCTAATTTGCTTTTGTTGCTAAAAAGTCTAGAAAAAAATTTTTTTCCGAACAAAAAAAATATTTTTTGAACAAAAACAGTGGTTTAAAAAAATATATATATTTTTAAAAGAAATAATTTTTTTTTCGACACAAAAATGAAATACTATTATGAATTATTGTATAGAATAATGGCATATGTGTCATAATCGAGTGCATAATAACAAAGTGCGTCCTTAGATGCATAATCACACGCTTCGTCAATAAAATAAAAATAAAATTCGTTTGCAAATATTTCAGTATCAACAATGAATGCTCTAGTTTTATGTACAACTGTTTCTATATAAAAATGCGCTCAGCTCAGTTTTTTTTTTTTTTATTTTTCTAAACCCTACACTTACAAAACATACCCTTCCCTTATTAAATATATATATATATATATATATTTATGTATACGTATATCGTTTTTCAGTTATAATTTTCCGGTATCAGAACGAGAATTAAAAAATAAATTTTCAATTAAAAAAAAACAAAAATTGAGTGTGAAGAAAACATAAGGAGAAAATTAATAAAAAATCAGTAAATCATTGAACGATCATTATCTTATTTTTTTTTCATTTTTTTTTTTTTTTTTTTTTTTTTTTTTTGATCAACAGCTTGTAAATTGTCTTCGTTAATTGAACAAACCAAGCTAACGAAGTTCAAGTTAAATCATATACAGAACATAATAGTATAATAACTACATGATTACAAAGATCGTTTTTCTATTGAATAAAAATAATAATATTTATACTACTTACAAAACTCACTGTTCTAAAAAATAAATTAATCATACAACATAATAATCGAACCGCGAGAACTTTGCCTTTTTTTTGGGGGGGGGATTTTTATCGACAAAAAAATCAGGTGCACCTCATTCCAAAAAGAAAAAAAAAAATACAGAACTGGAGAAAAACAATTTTCAACAAATATTTATAAAAAAAAAAATAATTTTTCCAAGAATTAAAAATTGGAAAAAAGAGTTTTTTTTCTTTAAATAAGGGAATAATTTTGTGAAAATAGTAAAAAAAAAAAAAAAGAAAAGTAAAATTCTGTCGATGACCGGGATAAATTGAGTATTAAATACTATAAATGTTTCTAACTAGCAGCCTCTGGTGACTAGTCCGCACTAGTCTTTTACTAGTGTTAGCACTAGCCTGAGCATTAGGCATATAATAAACGATATATAGTATACCTTGTTAATTAATATATAGCGGGTCGAAAAAATTTTATCAACCGGGATATATAACATTGTATAATTCGTTCGATAATTGACCCCTCCCTTTTTTTACCCCTTAACCATATTTTTCTGTTTTTTTTTCCTTTTTTTTTCTTTTAAATTGCGTTTTCAGCGTAACAATTGTGTTTTCATCAGTTATTGTATGTAGGTATTATTAATAATGGTCACGGTATCACAAATTATAGTCGCGCATTATCGGCAAAGTTTAATTGAAGAATACTCGCCAAATATTCATAGTCAAGAAAACTTTGTCGCTTTTCTATTTACAATGTAATTATAATCACGTGGAACGAACCAGAATTTTCATATTTTACCTATAGCCTTTTATAATAATTATTTAACGAATTTATTCAGTTTCTAATGTCATATTTTACTGGCATAATTTTTTTTTCTATTTTTACCAAAAACAATTTTCTATGAAAAGAATATTTTTCTAAATAATTACAAAAATTTTTTTTCGAAACAAATATATTATTTTTTTGGTTCACAATTTTTTGTGAAAAAAATTTTTTTGATTAATTTATTTTATCTAAATAAACGTTTAGTTTACTTTTATTAAATTTTTTGAAGGAAAAAATAATTTTTTTTGAACCAAATAAAATTTTGATTAATTTAATCAAAAAAATTTGGTTAACTAATTTGACTATTTTAATTTGGTTGATTCAATTAAAATTATTGTGATTTCAAAGAAATTTATTTTCTTAGCACAAAAAAATATTTTTTTTTTTTTTTTTTAAATTACTGAACTTTTAGTATACAATAAAAATAGAGGGGAAAAAAATTGGTTATTTTTTGAATTTATTCTTTACAGAAAAAAATTTAACGGTTCATTTAAATTTTATTTAAATAGAAATCGGCTATTATAATTGATTTTCATTCTAAAATTTTGGTTTTTTTTTCTTATACACTATAAAATAGTATTTTTCGCCATTTACATGTTCGTATTTGATTCAATATATTTTTTTTTTTTGATCCAAAATTTTTTTTACTAGTTTGAAGTAAATTTTCTTGACCCACTTGAAAAGATTCCCCGGAAAGTGCACCCTGGAGGTTCTATCAGAATTCCGCCGGAACTTCCAACGTAATTCCATCGGAGTTCCAAAGAATTTCCGACGGAATTCCGACGGAATTCCGATTAATTTTTTCAAAAATTTTAGAGTCCTAATTCCGTCGGAATCCCATCGGAAATTCTTTGGAACTCCGATGGAATTCCGACGGAATTACGTTGGAAGTTCCGGCGGAATTCTGATAGAACCTCCAGGGGGCACTTTCCGGGGAAATTTTTCCAAGTGGAGAATAAAATTAGTTGATCAAATACAGACAAGAAAATAATTTTTTTTTGAATCAATGATACTTTTTTTCAGTGTACAAGTTTTGATAATAATTGATTGAATCAAAAATGCCAGCACTCGCTATTATACTAGAGAAAAAATTTGCTAATGAGAAATGGCAAGTATCATATGCGACGGGAGTTTTTTTTTATTATTATTATTCTTATTATTATTATATTATTATTATTATCATATAGTGTAAAAAGGGTCAAGGAAAAATTTTATACTCTTATTTCACTTTGAATCTCATTTTTCTTTTTCTACTTTTTTTTTGTTGAGTGAATAAATAAAAGTGAAATGTCGAGTTTGAAAATATAACCGATTCGTTTCCAACGTGTTTATTTATTTTTAAATTCTGCCAACTCGTGGCGAAACCGAGTGTCAACATTATTGAGCATGTTGTGAATGAACCGAACCATAAGATAATGGAGAGTCGAAAAAAACTCGAGCTCCAGTGTCACGGAGGAGATTTAGGTCTTCCGGATTTATCCTGCATCACTTGTTGTTGTTGTTGTTGTTGCTGTTGTTGTTGTTGATGATGATGCGAATTTGGATCGGTACCAACTAATTCAGTTCCCATCATTCCGCCATTGACATTTTTGTCAACGACATTACTCGCATGGACAGAATGAAAATAACGATCTGTAATTATGAAAATTTTTTTTTTTTTTTTTGTAAAATCATTGAAAAAGTACTGAAATTTATAAAACTTTTTTTTTCAAAAATTTTTCCACACACTTTGCCTCACTTCCCTTTTTTTCCAATTGAGAGGAAATTAAAAATTGGGTAGAAGAAAAAAAAAGGAATAAAATATCACTAAGAAAAATGTTTAGTCAGAGCAACCAAAATTTGGTTGGGCCAACAAAAAAATTTTGTTGGTATTTAAGCAATCAAACTATTCACAGTTTTTCTGAGGATATCAAATTGAGACCATAAAGTGTATCAAATTGTTGATAATGCAACGTTTTGATGCTGTTTATGGTCTCAATTTGAGAGCCTCAGAAAACTGTGATTTGTTTGAGTCAACCAAAAAATTTGGTTGAGTGTTTTTTGTTGGCATAACAAAATGTTTGGTTAGCTCAACCAAATTTTTTTTGTTAGGTCAACAAAAATGTTTAGTTGGTCAAACAGTTTTTTTTTTTGTAAAATTAAAAATTTTATTCTACCTTATTTCTTTTCTTTTTATCTTTTACATTCTCATCACATGAGAAGGTATTATTTTTTATTTATTTCATTCTCTTAAGCTATGAGCTGAGAGCGATTCAAATTATTTAGTTGTCGCAACCAAATTTTGGTTCGGACAACAAACGATCATTTGGTTTTTTTTTGGACCAAACTATTTTGTTGTGTTAACCAAAGTATTTTGTTGTCGTAACCGAATTTTGGTTGGAATTTAAAAATGTTCAACCAAATAATTTTGTTGGCCTAACCAAATATTTGGTTAAGATAACTCTACGACTTTGTTTCAGCCAACCAAAATTTAGTTACAAGAACTAAAATTGCCTAACCAAATAATTTTGTTTGCAAAGACTAAATATTTTTTCTCAGTGTAGATGTTTTTTTTTTTGAGTAAAAAAAATTTTATTTTTAAAAATGAAAATTTTTTTGTCCATTACCATCGTCCATGGCAGTGGGTGGTTCACTGGCAGTACCCGCAATAATTGGAGCTATCATGTTGTAATCGTCCTCCAGATTTATGAAGGGTGCTGTATTCCAACGTGGGGGAACGTTGGAAACTGACCTCTGCGTTGCCACTGGTCTCGTTACAGAAACGGGGGATGAGAAGAGGGAAAGATTCGTCGGGGAAATCACTCCTGACATCGAGCTGATGGTAGGGTAGGTGAAGATTTGCTGCGTCAAACATTAAATTTTTTTGCAATCGTTTACAAAAGTCAGCACAGCGAAATATATTTCAAAAAAAAAAAAAAAATAAAAATAACTCAATACAACAAATTTTTAAAGTCAATATAAAAAATTTATTTGTCATATTTAACGATTCAGCAAATATTCATTTTTATTTAGGAAAAATACATACTTATTGTAAAGTCAAAAAAATTTACTTTTCCTTTGAAAGAAATGTGTTTTTTAATGCAATGATAGGGAATTTTTTCATCTTAATTTGAGAGAAATTTATTATTTATTGTATAAGAAAATTATTTTGAAAAAAAAAATTTATTTGTTTCAAATAATCGGGTTACTTTATTATTAAATAAATATTTATTTGACGTAAATAATTTTTATTTGCGTCAATTAAATGGTATTTGTTTCAATTAGAGAAATTATTGTTCCGAATATTTTATTTAAATGAAAATTATTTGGTTCGTGTAAATATTTATTTGGTTCATGTAAATATTTATTTGGTTCATGTAAATATTTATTTGGTTCGTGTAAATATTTATTTGCTTCATGTAAATATTTATTTAATAATAGTCAAGTAACTGATTATTTAAATCAAATAAATTTTATTTTTTAACAGTGTAGGAATTGACTCCATTCTCATGCTACATGCTCGTTTAAATAGTAGTAAAAGCCAGTTTTAGCCAGACAGAACGGTCGAAAATTGGGTTCAACTTGTAAAATCAGTGGTAAAAGTCAGTTAATGTCAGACAAAGTGGTTAAAAACTCTACTAGTCAGTAGTAAGGGTCAGTTTCAGTCAGACTGATAGAGTAGAATTTTTTTTCAGTAATTAAAAAATTTACTGTAAAAAAATGATTAATATTTTTGTTCAAATAAAAAAATCAGTAGTAAAAAATAGTTCCAGTCAGACAAAAATGGTTAAATACCCAGTAGTACTAGACAGTTTCAGTCCGACGAACAAAATATTTTTTTTTAAACTGTAAAATCAGTAGTAAAGGAGTGTTCCGCTCAGTCAAAAGTGGTATAAATTTTCTGATTCAGAAATCAGTAGTAAATGACAATTTTAGTCAGCCCTAGTGGTTCAAAATTGCAAGAAATTAGTAGTAAATGACAGTTTTAATTGGACAAAAGGGTTACAAAAATTCTTATCCACGAATCAAATAGTAAATGAATTTTTTTCTTGAGACAAATATAATTTTTCAGTAGTAAAAGGCAATTTTAGTCAGACATGGTAAAATTTAAGAAATTTACAAATCAATACTAAAATAAAACTTTTCTCTTAAAAATTCTTGTAATTTTATATTCAGTGGTAAAATTAAGTTTCAGTCAGACGGACTAGTTTTGTTTTAAATAGTGTAATCAGTAGTGAAAAACAGTTATGGTCAGCCAAAAGGGATTAAGAAAATTGTGATTAAAAAAAAAATTAGTAGTAAAGGTCAGTTTTAGACAGACAAAATAACCATTTTTTGTGAGCAACTCATATTAGTAGTAATTGGTCATTTTTAATCAGACTTTCTACATTTTCGTTTCTTAAATATAAGTAGTAAAAGTCAATTTCAGTCAGACATGACACACAAAAAAAATTCTAATCAGCAAATTAACTAATTATTACTTACAAATAGTATTACTATAATTATTACCATAATTAGTACAATAATTAGTATAATAATCAGTACAATAATTGGAACAATAATAAGTAAAAAAATAAGCACCATGATTAGTACTATAATTATTACTGTAATTATTACTATAATTAGTACAATAAAAAGTACTATAATTAGTCGAATAATAAGTACAATAATTAGTAATACAATTATTACTGTAATTAGTACTAATTATAGTACTATATGTAGTACCCTAATTAGTATCATAATTAGTACTATAATTAGTACAATAATTAGTACAATAGTTAGTACAGTAATTAGTACAATAAATAGTACAATAAATAGTACAATAAATAGTACAATAAATAGTACAATAAATAGTACAATAAATAGTACAATAAATAGTACAATAAATAGTACATTAAATAGTACATTAAATAGTACATTAAATAGTACATTAAATAGTACAATAAATAGTACTACAATTAGTAAAATAATAAGTACCATTATTAGTACTATAATTATTACTGTAATTAGTTCTATAATTCGTACCATAATTCGTACAATAATTAGTATAATAAATCGTACTATAATTAGTAAAATAATAAGTACCATTTGTATTATTACTATAATTATACCATAATTTGTAGTATATACAGTACACTAATTAGTACCTTAAATAGTACTATAATTAATACTATATTTAGTACTAATTATAGTATTATATGTAGTACCATAATTAGTAGTATATATAGTACAATAATTAGTACAGTAAATAGTACTATAATTACTCTAATTAGTACTATAATTAGTACTAATTATAGTACTATATGTAGTCCCATAATTAGTAGTATATATAGTACAATAATTAGTTCAATAAATAGTTCTATAATTATTACTGTAATTAGTACTATAATTAGTACTAATTATAGTACTATATGTAGTACCATAATTAGAAGTACTATATGTAGTACAATAATTAATACAATAAATAGTACTATAATTAGTCAAATTAGTACCATTATTAGTACTATAATTAGTACAATAAATAGTACTATAATTAGTCAAATTAGTACCATTAGTAGTACTATAATTAGTACCATAATTTGTACGATACTTATTGCTAATTTCATAATTACCACTATACTAATCGCTAATTAAAATTACGACTACAAAGAATTAAATAAATTAATGAAAAAAATAACTTACTCACCTGTCCTGGTTGCGAGTGAAAATGAGCGAATGTATATTCTCTACTGGTGTGAGGTGCAGTGACGAGTATTCGCGCGGGACTTTTTCTACCGCCAGGATCTGAACTTTGACATGAACTGACAAGACCAACTGCCGCCGCCGCTGCCATTTGTTCTTGATTCGGTCCCATGTCAGACGAATCGGCTGGCGATGTCGATGATGTTGGCGGTGAATTTGCATTATTTGTTGTTAGCTCGCCTGTAGATCGTATTATTGCCACAGGTCGCGCCATTGGTGCTGGTGGTGGTGGAGGTAACATCGAACTCGGGTAATACTGTGAGAACTTTTGTATTCCAGATCGCGGACCCGCGAGTTGTGCCTGAAAATCGTACACCACCGATCATCGATCCACTCAATGCAGGGTCGTCTTAAGACCACAAAAAAAAAGAAAAAAAAAATGAGCATGGGGCACCAATACCGAGACCCCGAAATTTTTTTTTTTCTAACTAAATACCGTAAGAATATTTATTTTTGAAAATAAAGATTTTTGTTTCCCTTTTTTTTATAACGAATTAATTATAATTTTATTTAAATTAATTTGCCAAGATAAAAATCATTTTATAAATTTTTATCTTGACTTGTGCCCCAAGCATTAAATTTGCTTAAGACGGCCCTGCACTTTTTATGTGCCCCACTCGACCGAATCTTTTCTACTTATATAATTACGAAAAAAAAAAAAATTACAAAATCAATCAATGATTCCAGAAGAGGGGAGCACAATTTTGAGTGCAAATAATACCGCAAAAATATTTTGTTTTTTTTTTATTTTGAAATTAATTTTACGTTTTGTTTGGTTTTAACAATTTTTAAAAAAAAATTTTTTTTTAAATAAAATAAAAAGAAAATATTTTTTGCGGTACGTATTTTTGGATCCGAGAGCTACCTGGGGTAGCTGCTGAGTGTTCTCGGCTTCCTGGCATACAAATGTCACGAAATCCGAGAGAGTGTCGTGACCATTTTCCGGGTATTTAACGACCCCAGCGGAACCAGGATGCTCGGGTTGATAGTAAGCAAGGCCGGACATACTTTGACCGGAACCACCGGCCAAACCTTCGTGCGGTGAATGCAATCCTGTAACATAATTGGAGAATTTTAAAATTTTTCAAAATTATACAAAAAAAAAACCAAATTTAATTGGAAAAAAAAATCGAAATAACCAACCACCTCCTTAACAATATTTGAAAATTCATTATTCCATAGAAAAAATTATTTAACATTAAAAATGTTTTCCGCACTTTGTCTATGCTGAAAAAATTACGAATTAATTGATGTTAATAATTATTATTTATTTCATTAATTTATTTAGTTAATAAATAATTATAATAATAAATTAGTCACAAAAAAATTCTTCCTACTATGGTTTTACCTTCTTTTTAAATTTAAATAAATCTGTTTTACCGATTAATGATAAAACTGAATTGTAGTGAAAATAAATCTGTTTTACCGATTAATGATAATTCAGATTTTAGCTATTCAATTATAATAATAAATTAGTTACAACAAAATTCTTCCTACTATGGTTAGTCTTCTTTTTAAATTTAAAGAAATCTGTTTTACCGATTAATGATAAAACTGAATTGTAGTGGAAATAAATTTGTTTTACCGATTAATGATAATTCACATTTTAGCTATTCAATTATAATAATAAATTAGTTACAAAAAAATTCTTCCTACTATGGTTTTACCTTCTTTTTAAATTTAAATAAATCTGTTTTACCGATTAATGATAAAACTGAATTGTAGTAAAAATAAATCTGTTTTACCGATTAATGATAAAACTGAATTGTAGTGAAAATAAATCTGTTTTACCGATTAATGATAACTACAGTAAAAATAAATCTGTTTTACCGATTAATGATAATTCAGATTTTAGCTACTCAAATCAGTAATAATTCGACTGATTTTCAGCGGGGAATGTTACAGAATTTTTTTTTCTTGCGATTAAATATTAATAGAATTTTATTTTGCACTTGTGGAAATTTGCGTTAGAAGGATGAGCATTTTTTTTTTTTTTTTGTTAAGAAGGTGGTTTTAGTGGCAGGGCAACAACATTACGGCATAAGTAGATATCAAGTATATATAAAAATAAGGCACTCCAAGCGTGAGCTGACTGGCTGAAATGTATACATGTATGCTTCGCACAAAAAATGATCGCGCATTTCGCGTTCCCATTCGCCGCTAATTTTGAAAAATCATTATTTATTATTGTTTATTATAATTATTTATTATTTACATCTATTTAATATTATTTCTCTTCTTTAAATAATAAATAATAAAAAAATAATAAAATATAATATATAATAACAATAACATTTAAATTTAAATTTTCGAAAGAAAATTTTTTTTAATCTAAAAAATACAAAAACAAGTGGAGATATTTGTTTTTTTTTTTGAGAATAATATATAAAATCTCCTGCATAAGGGGCGATGCAGGTGAGCGAAAGGCGCGAACAACAGTACGATTAAAAAGGTTTTTTTTCTTTTCTTTTTTTTTTTGTTGGATTATTATATACATATGTAATGTTTGTATATTTATATAATTATATATTAGTGCAACAACAAAACACCAAACAGCAAGGTATAACAACGAGTAAACAACACATCAAGAAACATCAAGATAACAACATCAACATCAACAATGAGTATTATTAAACAACAACACCAACATCGCAACAACAATATAGAATATTAATATATATATTTTTTTTAAAGGTATATAGTATCGTACGGAGAAGAAACAAATAATTTATATTATTATTTATAATGTCGGAAAAATTAATCAATTAGGTCAATATTAAATCCATCCAGCATACGACATACCCAGAGCATTGACCGTGTACAAAGTGAGAGTGAGATAGATATAATAATAATAAAAATAATAATAATAATAATAATGGTGTGCACGGATTTTTTTTCAGCTTACATTCAAATTATTTCTTTCTCGATATAAAAAAAAAATTATTTTGTGTGATTTTTAAATTTTTTTCCAAAATTATTAAATTAAAAAAAAAAAAAATAGAAATTTAAAAAAAATTTAATACAGATTACATTTTTTTTTTTTTAATTTCTTTATTATTATTTTTTACTTTTTGGTTATTTTATTTGTTAATTTGAGAAAAAAATTTCTGAAAATTATTTCTATTTTTTTGATGAAAAATAAAAGTATCGAGAGAGCAAAATTTGAAATAAGCTTATTGTTTTTATAAATTTATAAAAATGAGAGCAATTTGGATATATTTATAATAATATATATATATATCTATAAGAAGAGGTGGGCAAACAGATATAATAGACAAACAGACAGACAGATGTAGATGAACAGAGAGAGAGAGAGAGACGAACGGACAGACAGATAAGACAGATAGTGACAGCAATATAGCTTACCCAATTATGTGAGAGTTTCGTAATTTAACGAAAATCGTTGTCCGTCTGTCTGTCCGTTTCCAACCCCCTTTTAAACGCATATTTTTTTTTTTTAGGACAGAATTTTTTGAATTCTATTTTCTTTTTTCAGAATTTTTTTTTCTCTTATATTTTTTTGGGTACAATTTATTTTTCGATTTTTCCACGTACGTTTCTCGAGTCAATTGGCAACAGACAGACCAGCAAGACGGACGGGCAGGCAAATCGACATTTTATTTCTTGGAGATTAATTACTTAATTTTTTAATTTAATTTTTAAAAAATTAATTAGGCTAATAATAGTTTAAATAAAAATTATATTTTTAAAATTATTAGATTAATATTAATAAAATATTAAAATTTATTTTTAGATTTTTCTAATTTTTTTTTTTTAATTTATAATTTGCTTGATTGACAAGAGCACGGAGAAAAAGAAAAAGTAATTTTTACTACTTTCAGAGTAAAACTGGACCAACTCGAAGTTTCTGCGCATCTCTGGCAATTTTTACTCCAAAAATAGTAAAATTTATTATTTCTGTAGTAAATTTTACTGTTTCCGTAGTAAGTTTTACTATTTCTAGAGTAAATTTTACTATTTTTGGAGTAAAAATTGCCAGAGATGCGCAGAAACTTCGAGTTGGTCCAGTTTTACTCTGAAAGTAGTAAAAGTTACTTTATAAAAGAAATCTTTTTTCTCCGTGAGCTTATAAGAGGCAGCTAAGGAACACATAAATGCAACATTGACGCACATTAATATATATATAAATATTTCGTTAATGATGATAAATTTTTAAAGTAGGTAGTTTTTTTTTGAATTCCCCCTATATTTCACGAGCTAAAAAAAAATTTCTCTTTCGAAGTCATGTATATGCAAATTTCTACAACATATTATTTTGAAAAAAAATATTGTTTACCTGTTTTTTTGTTTTTTTTTTTTTTTGTTTTTGCATTCACGGAGCTATAGGCATCATAAAAATGAATTTGTAAATTAAATATACTTATCAAAAATGTATTAAAGTATAATTATTAATAATTAATAATAATGATAAACAGAATTTTAAAGAAATTCATTTTTCCTTTTTTTGAATTTGTAATATAAAAATACCCAACAAAAAAAAAAATATTCAGTTTTTTTTAAAATAATTTTGTCAAAAATTTTATAATTTGTTACATCGATTAAAATCTTTTCTTAATAAAATACATGAATATTTCAATTTTTATATTTATCAAAATAGAAAAGAAATTTGAAAAAGAGTGAAATAAAGAAATGAGTGACTATGCAGAAAGTGAGAATACTTTTTAAAAATTGTGACGTGGCAAGCATTCTCTAAAAATTTCAGAGCAAAAAGAAAGTGTAGACCAATAGAGTGCAAACTACTCATATCATATAATAAAACTAAAACGGAGACCGAGTGCCGCTTGATTATTTTTTTTTTCACTTTAAAAAATTGTAAATTTTTCTAATTTTAATTATTTAATTTACAACTTTTAAATAATAAATTTATAAACAACACTCTCATTGGTCAAAATAATTAAATTGTCATTTTTTTTTTTTAAACGACACCTCAGCTCCGTGGATAGAATTTTTATAGTACATATATTATGCATATAAAATGATCAAGTGCGAAATAACAAATTTATTTTTTCAAGATGCTGCGGCACACTTATACATCGATACATACATGGGTGTAACGGACAATAATAATATATAGTGCTGCTATGGGAAATTATTTTTTTTTTTTTAATGGTGGTTAAAAATCGTGAAATTGTGAATTAAATTCACGTTCTTTTTGAAAATTATATTTTTCAAATAAACAGATGACTCGATACACGCATTTTTTTTTTTTTTTTTGCTCGACTTTATTGGTACTTTTATACGTTTCTTAAAATACTTTCACGAAATCATAAAAAAAAAAAAACACGAATCTCGCAAAAACTCACCAAGATGATGCTTATTTAAAAAATAAAAATTGAATCAATTTCAAAAACTAGGAAATTTTTTATTTTTGAAAAAAAAATGAGTTTTCAATACGAAAATTAAATTGTAATATTTTATTTATTATTTTATGAATTTAAAAAAAAAATATGCATAAATAATTTTTTTTTATTTCATAATAAAATAAAAAAAATTATTTAATAAATAAAATAAAATTTTAATTGATAAGCATTTTTTTAAAAATTAATTTCATTATATAAAGAGGAAAAAAAAGAGAGAATAAAATAAAATAATTTTTATATAGGTGACATTGACAAAATGTGAGAAAATATCTAATACACATATAACACAAATAATTTCGAACTTGTTGAGGATGATTGCGAGAATACTATTTGTTTCACAATAAAAAGTTTTTTTAAAAAAAAAACATGTGTCTAAAAAAAATTTCTCAAATAAATTAAATAACTTTCTTTTTTTTTTGTTTACATAAACAAATATTAAAAATCACTCAACACTTTCAGAAAAAAAGTTTTCTTGAATAAACAAACGTATTTTTTCTAAAATCGAAAATTATAATTATTATTATATGTAAATTATTTTAATAATAATAAATAATAATGGTAATAAGAAAAAATTGTCTAGAAAAAAATAATTAAAAATTAAAACGAAAATTTAAAGAAAGTGAAAAGTGATTTTTTGTGATTTTAAAAAAATGAAGTCAAATGGAAATTGAAGTCTCGGTCTCATCCTTTGATAAAGTGTATATAAAATACACTTAAAACAAATATGCAAATATTGATATATATATATATAGAAAGAATATATAACATCATAACCAATCACAAAGTACCTTTTGGTCGAGATAGCGAGCTTCTCTCTATACGCTCGGGCTCAGACTGAAACAGAGATTACGCGTAATTCGCGATTAGTCATTTTTTTTCTACCCATCGAAATTTTATCTGTTTCTTATTTTGAGGGGTAATTTTTTTTTTCTTTAATTGACCCTATACGACCTTTTTTCCATTCTTCGATGAGATCTCAAAATTTTTCAAACATTCAACTTTTTTTTCACATAAAAAATAAAAATTGCAAAAAAAATAATTTATACAAATAAAAAATTAAATTATTTATAAAAAGATGTTTTTTTTCGATTATCGCACACCCATGGAAATTAAAATAATTCTTTTATAAATGACAAAAAAAAAAGCGTGGGAAAAAGCGAATTCATTGCATATATAATTGACTCTATAAAATTTGGGCAAAAAAAAAACAGTCGCACTTTCATTTGACAATTAAGGATCGTGGGGGGGGGGGTTAAAAAAATTGTGATTTTTCACATCGATTCCTTAATGCAAATTTTTTTACTTACATATATATGATGAGCTCAGAATGGGTCTATCGCACACTGGACATTAAACAATGGTCGACGGACTTATAGTGATGACAGAGGTTAGTTAGTTAGTCGATCATTCAATCAATCAACGAAACGTGAATATTTTGCTAATTATAAGAAAGAGAGAAAAAAATTTAAGCTAAAGCGGCTTCTTTTTTTTTCACAGATAAATTTTTTTTTTTTTTTTTAAATCCGATTTCGATGTTAGATGTGTTTGTTAGTTAACTCACTTAATTATATAATTAAAACAAGAGGAAAAAAAAAATATATGCCAGGATTGGTTATAAGGTAAAGTTAAATAGTGACAAAGTTTCGTTACAACGTATATATTTATATATATACGTTTCGTAGCTAAGTATAAGTTGACCTGGTTGATCTGCGGTTAGAACTATGTTCCGTACTTAAGATTAGTGCAAGGCGAAGTACAGAATGATTTGTATGCAACGGATCTTTGCACCATGACGCATGGAATCTTAAAATCTCGAAAGGCACTTCTCTTCAATGTACATATATACATATAAAAAAAAACTAGCATTTCTGATTGAACGTGATATCAATGATTTTTTCAAAATACTTTTTTTCGAGTTTCTTTATTCAACAAAAAAATATCGCTAGAAACATAAAAAAAATTGTTTTTTTAAATATCTGTTTTTAAATAAAATTTATTTGCAGTAAATAAAATTTATCTAAACCAAATGAAATTTATTTGAATCAAATAAAAATTTATTTGGTTCAAATAAAACATTTCTGAATCAAATTTATTTGCACTAATTACACCAAGAGAAATGTTTTATTTGAACTGAATATAATATATTTGAATTTAATAAACGTACATTTTTCTCATACCATTTATTTGGCGTAAATAAAATTTGTTTATTTAAATTAAATAAATATTTATTAGGCTGTGAGACAAATATACCATTTTTCTGGATGTAAAATTTATTTGAACCAAATACAATATATCTGAATCAAATAAAATTTATTTGGTTAAAAAAAAAAAATCTCTGAATCAAATAAAATTTATTTGCACTAAATAAAAAACTTATTTGAAACAAATAAAACTTATCTGAATTAAATAAAAATTTATTTGAACCTATTTATTAAAAAAAAATAATTGAATTTTTCCCCTTGGTGCAGAAAAAAATTTAGTATTGACAATTTTTTATGATAAGAAATATTTTGTAATTATAAATTTTTAAGTTTAAAATTATAATCATTGTTTTCTTTTTCAGATATCCATGGTTGGGTTTCATCAAAAATATATTGGTGAGTAAATTTTGTGTAATTAAATAAAAAAATTTCATGGAAACACTTTTTTTCTATACTAAAATTAAAATTTTTGTTTACTAATTTTTTTTTTAAACAAAAGTTTTAATTTTTTAAATAAAAAAAAAACCTAGTAATGAGTAGAAAATAGTACAATAAATAAATAATGAAATAGTGAAAAAAATAGTAATATAGTAAAAAAATAGTAAAATAGTATAATTTCCATTACCACCGAAATGTTTATTAATTTGCCTAAATTATTAATATTTTTAAAAGTGTTATTTTATTAACACACAAAATATTTATAAAATTGAATACAGTTTTGTGGTTTATAATATAATATCCACAATAGCTGTTGCACCAGTAAATTTTTTTTTTTTTTTAAACGATTCGTAATTTAAAAATTTTTGTTATATATTCGAGTGTTTATAATAAATTATAATTATTATTACGTTGTTCTTAAATTAATTGTAATGTATTCACAATGTCGTTGTAATAACATACCCGTTTGCGAATGAGGAGAATCCATTCCACGATGGCCTTCCTCGGGCCTCAGAACTGGAGAGAAGGTTGTAGCACTTGAAACCGATACCGTCGGAGGCTTTTCAGTCTTATCATTTCGTATGAGCTGGTGCACCGGCGGTGGACCTAATTACAAAAAAAAATCAATTTTTAAAAATCGATTCTATTCTTCTGAGAAAAATTAATTTTTCTATTTTTATTTACTATTTACTATTCGGTTTACTAATTTTACAGCTAGATTCGTAGAATTGTAAATCTGGATTATAATATTTACAAAATTGAATTTTAAAATTTACAACTAGAATCGTTTTTTCTTTTTCTTTTTTCTAAGAAATATTTTTCTTTACTGAAAAATAACAGTATATTTTCTTTTGTAAGATACCACGTGACCTTAACAGTGGATTGTCTTGCCAAAAAAAAAGCTGACATTTATCACGAACAAGGTCGATGACCATTAGCATATATTTTCCCTCTTTTTATTTTATATAACACCAAAAATTCCAATAGATTTTGTATTTAATTTTTTTTTTTTTTTTCAATAAAAATCGGAGGAAAAAACAATTTTTTACATTTTTGTTAATCACATAGAAAATTTTTTTTAGTTTCTCACAACCATTTTAGAATTGTAATACCCGGTATAGAAACTGTGCTATTCTATTTCAGGTTCGACCTATATATATATATATCAATGCTATATCTTGCCTTAGTCATTCATTTGGAGAATTTCTCCGGATGATCCAAAGATATATAGAATATGCATTCTCTTTAATAATATAAATTTCTGTACCAAGAAAATTAAAAAAAAAAGAAAGAAATTATTTCTCTAAACAGAATTTCGTTTAGTTTCTCTTTATATAGCTTAAAACTTCAGTTTCTGCTGAAAGGTTATCGTTTGATCGATGAAAGAAGAAAGGGATGGGAAGTGAGAATGGCGAAAGTTGAAATGAGTGAAAGAAAGTCGGTGATATTAAACCACAGTTCAGATATATATAAAAAGAGAGGGGAAAAGAGAGAGAGAGAGAGAGAGAGAGAGAGAGAGAGAGAGAGAGAGAAAAGAGACCTCAAAAAATTCGGGGGAAAATGAGAAAAAACTGCTTCCAATCCCAGAAAAACATTTCCTTTTTTACAACCACGAAAAATTGAGACGTCAGTAAAGTTTTTTTTTCATCTCTAATGTGTGTTTTTTCAATTTTCATTTTTATTCCACATTTTTTCCAGCCTTGAGTGAATTCTCTAACCAAAAAAAAAAGTGGAGGGGGAAAATCTTATTTTTAGACAAGTTTTGAAATTAAAATAGTTTTGAAAGTATATAAGGTGTTTCTTAATTTAAAATGAAACTTTGGTAAAAATAAGATTCTTGTTAAAATGTGAATTAAATATTTATTTTAGATAATTATTATCCTAATTGTTATTGTAATTACTATCGTACTAATTATTAATTATTGTAATTGTTATCATACTGATTATTGCAATTATTATCATACTAATTATTGTAATTTTTATTATACTAATTATTGTAATTATTGTTATACTATTTTTTGTAATTATTATCATACTAATTGTTGCAATTATTATCATACTAATTGTTGTAATTATTATCATACTAAATATTGTAATGATAATTATACTAATTATTATAGTGTTAATTGTTATAATTTTTTTTAAATATTAGTGTGTTAACTATTATAATTATAATTATATATTATTATATAGTATTATATATATATATATTATTATATATAATTATAATTATTGTGTTAATTATTGTAATTATTATGATATTAATTATTCTAATAATAATCATAGTAATTTCTATTATACTAATTTTTTGTTATACTAATGATTGTAATTATTATTATACTACTTATTGTAATTTTTGTTATACTAATTATTGTAATTATTATCATACTAATTATTATTATAATTAATAATTATTGTTATTATTATTATTATTATACTAATTATTACACTGATATTCCGAAAAATTTTTAAAAAAATTTTGAATAAATTTTCAATTTAAAGAGTATGGCGAAAAAAAAAATTCGAATAAACGGGAAATGAAATTATTAAAAATGCAGTTGAATATATATTGAAGATGAAGAAAAAAATAAAGTCAAATAGGGATGTAAATTTTTGAAACTTACTGAAGCTAGCCGCGGGCTGAGTATGATCCGCGGCAGTAGCTGCGGATGGAGGGGTGTAGCTGCTGCAGTAGTACGGCGGGTGCTCTATTTTGATCGCGTTTATTTGAGGCTGCATGTCGCTGAGGTCATGCAGTATGGACGCTGAAACCAGACACATACAGTCTACTTCAATATAGATATATACATATATAACTATATATATATATGTATATTTGTATACGTGTATCGTTGTATATCGTTACGATTAAACGTTTTATTTTTGAAATTATATATATACATTAAAATATGCCCTCGTATTATTTTTTTCTATATTAATTTTGCATTAAATTTTATAATATATTGAGACAAGCGGCATCTGATATCGTTTAATTTCTCCTATGTATCGTATATATATATACATATGTGTGTATGTATCTGTGTGTCGAAGAGTCGCAGGAAGCGTCACAGTGAAGCGTGTTAAGCTTCCGCTATTCCACGTCACTCAGCGATGGAAGCTCGTACTTTATTTTTGAATTTTCTTATTTCTGTCGCGCCAAACTGTATACACACACACATATATATATATATACAAGGCTGTGCGCATAAGATAGCAAAATTCGACTTTGACGTTCTCAAACATTTACCCTTCGCTTTGAGTTTATTTGCTTTCGAGATTAACTTGCAAAATTCATATATACATATTTTGTAAATTCTCTATGTTCGAAATAGCGGAGAATTTTACAATTTTTTTTTTCCTCAATATTTTCACTATATATATATATAGATATATGTGTAAAATGAAGTAAAGAACATAATAAATTCGTTCAACATTTTCTCTTTTGATTGAAAGAAAATTTTTTTTTTATACTTCTTCAAAAAAAAGGGGAATATTTTTTTTTTATTTATAAAAGCTGAATAATAAATTAATAATAATATAAAAAATAAAATTAGCTGAATTTCAGTAAATGTGGTTTTTAATTAATGTTTAGCATTATTTTAAAATCAGAAAGCGATTCTTAATTTAGAAAATTTTTAAGTTGAGTAATTATTAAATAATGTTTTATATAGTTCAAGCTGTATAAGAAAAATTTGAAGAAATTGTTGAAATTGAAGAATTTGTTTTGAAGAAAAATTTAAAAACGTTGCAGCAAAACTTTTCTTTATTTAAGTAACAACGTAACGAGTTGGTCTTAATTTAAGACAATTTTCAAGCACAGTGTATTACTGTTACATATAGTTAAAATTTTAATTAACAGAAGAAATTTACAAGAAAGATATTTAAAAATGGAAAATTTTTTCTTAATTTAAGTACCAGGGTCTTAAAGACAGTCTTAATAATATTAATACCCATTTTAAATGCAATAATTGGATATTTAGTGAATTTAATTTAACAGTCAGTTAACATGAAAAAATTATGAAATATTTTTTTTAATACTTTTTTTTCTACTCTAGCGTCACTTCCGCTATTTCCAAACTGCTTCTCTATTTTCCTCTATCTCTCTCTCCCTCTCTCACTGCCCACTTCGCGACTGAACGAAAATTGCTTTTTCATCCACATGAGCGCGCGGGTCTTCTAGACTCGCGGAGAGGTTCAACATTAAAAAATGGGAAAAATTCTACTCTCGCGGCTTTTTGAATTGAAACACGGAGTTTGAGAATGTGTTGGAGCATTGTTAACAAAAAAGCAAGTGTGCATAGCTCGATTCTTTATACACGCTCGCTATAGGAAGAGAGCGCGAATCTCAATTTTCACACGTTCTTCGTTTCTTTCTTTTTTTTTTTTTTTCTATACATGAAAAATCAGCTTTCTCACTTTCCAACATTGGTTTCTAAAATAAGAGCGAGAGAGAGAGGAAAAAAATGGCCTAGAGTCACGCACGATTTTCGTGATTTGAAAAGAAAAATTACATATGTGAAAGTTTAATTAGAAAACTATTTTTCTATTTTCTTTAGTTAAAAAAAAAATTCCCTCACGTATTTTCATAAATAGAAAAAAGTTATTTTTTTCTCTGCGGGAAAATTGAATGAAAAAGTTAATAATTGCGCTAAATAAAAAGTTTAAAAAAAAAAATTTTTTATGGAACGAAGAAGGAGACTTGGTGCGAGGAGGCTCTAAAGCTCTGAGGCCGTGAGCATTGTTCGCTTCTATTAATACGCGGGGTTGCATACTAATCTACTGCACAGAGAGCGGATCACACTTGCATTTGTCGAGGCATTTCGAGACACGATTCTCAATACTCGTTCCCATGCCCTATTATTCCATTTACCACTTTAATAATTAAAAAATTTAATATTCACTAAAAAAAAAAAAACTCAAATTTTTCTAATATTCTCAATTTCAAAAAAAAAAAATATTTTTATCAATTTGAATACAAAAAATAATGAATGATGACATTTCAAATAACATTAGTTTTTAAAGAATGAAAAATCTGTGCCAAAAAAAGGGTTTGTTGCAACGACTACAGAGGATGCTTTCAAAAGGCAGAGTTCGGCGTTTACCTTTCGAAAGCATCCACATTGGAATTTTTTCACAAATAATCCTGTTAATGTATTATTATATATATACTATATATTATAAATTTTTTTTATAGACAAGAAAGGAGAATTTTTTTTTTGATTTTTTAAAAAATATATTATCCTAAATAAATTTTTTTTTTTTTTGGGAACTTTAATAAAAACACATTGAATTCGATTTGAAAAGAATCGTCGTACCTTTTGAAAGCATCCAGAGCTCCTTGGAGCTGAAAACACCTGTCGCGAGGATTGTATCGTTGCATACGACACCATTATACAGTTCGTGGTAACCTGCACCTGGGAACAAACCCAATCGATAATTTTTTCTTATCGATAAACGATCGTTCCTTGGAAAATTATTTTTTTTGTAAATTTGATTTTAGATTTGTTTTTGAAATTTTATATGAAAATATCCTTTTGAAAATGATGCGAGAATTAATTGATTAAAAAAAAAGAAAAAATTAAGGGTCTGTGACACTTGATTGTATTTTAATTTTTTATTAAATGAAGTTTTTGAGAATTTTCAAAAAAAAAAATTCAAATTTGTCGCATACCCCTAATAGTGTCAAAAGTAATGAAAAACAAAAACAATTTTAAGAAAACAAGACCTTTTATAAGTTTATAGACTAATTTCTTCTTTTTAAGCTCATGCATACCTTTACGTCGCCTTTCTTCTTCTTTATTAGCATTACAGATACCATTCAGCACCTCTGGAAGCATAAAAAAAACTAATTTAATACAAAAATTATATTTATGAAAATTACATTTATCGTTTAATCGTATAGGAAAAATTTTTTTAAAAAGGAACGAAAAATAATAAGTAATAACAATTTATTTTATTACATTTATTATTTATTTACATGTTTACAGGCTTACAAAAAGAAAACAAAATAATATTATAAAACTAGTAGTTCAAGACGTTATTTTTTTTTTGGAATTAATTTTCCTTTTTAAAAATGAAATTGCGATGAAAACATAGTGTTGAGCGGAAAATGTGACAAAATTCATAAATAGGTATAGTAAAAAATTCAAAACTGCAAGATTTTCGGTCAATTAAAACTACATAGCTAATCTTCATCAGTCATCAAGCACCTAAAGTCACTTCACGTCGTTAGCTTCCCTGTCACACGGTGTTTTATATCGTGTGATCTTACGCAAATCTCATTACGCAACATATCACTAAAATACACGAGAGCCCAGAACGTTCGACTTCTTCAGGGTGAAGAATTTTTTTTTTTTATTTTATTTTATTTTCCTGGTGATTTACAATCTCTGAGTGTAAAAATAAAAATTCCATATAACAATTTTGACTTTTCGAAATTTAAAGAAACAAAAAAAAATTCTATGGATTGTATTCGAATCTGATGCTTTTATTGTAATCGCGCAATGATGAAATGTTTTTCTTTTAGAAATCTTTTTTCTTCTTCTTTTGACAAATCTATTTCTGATATTATATCTTCTTTTACTATAATTATTTTTTGTAAGTCAAATATATTGAAATGTTAAAATATTAAAGTATGATTTCAAAACAGGAATAATTTATTCAAATATAGGAACAAAAAATATTTGTGCATTTAAATTAAATACCGTTTATTTGAGTCAATAATTGTTTGTGTTTTCAACTAAACATTCGTTTAATAATTTCTCTATTATTACAGTGAATAAAAATAAGAAAATTATACTATAAAAATATATGAAAGATATATTTGTGATAGTAAAAAAGGTTTGTACATGCATTATAATTATGTGAATGATATTTTATTAATAAAAAATTATATTAAAAATCAAAATTATATCATGTGAATAATAATATTGTTTCAGAATGATGGCAAGAGACAAATACGACTGAATGTTAATGAGAAGCAGACACATGTGAACGAAATAAACTAATAAATGAGTGAGAAATTTCACGTAGCCGATCTCGCTGTGGAACTGAAAAAATCACGAACAGAGGACCCGTCATTAAAAGTCAAGAATCGTAGTAATGTGAGTCAAAAGGTGTACATAAAACAACATAAAACAAGAAAACCTAAAAACATGAAACACCGCAACTTGAAAATACAAATCATAAAACATAGACCCAGGAAACGTGAAAACAAACACATAGTACACATACATGACTCAATCCTGAGTTAATTATGACCAAATCGTAAGTCACGTGCGTCATTCATGACCAAATCGTTAGTCATTAGTGACTCATTCGTGAGTTCTTCGTCACCAAATACTAAAACACGAATTACAAACGTGTCTAAGAAAAAGTCACGAATTCTTAGGCGCGTTTCAAATTCGTGACTTTTTTCTTAGGCGCATTTCTAATTCGTGACATTTTTCTTAGGAGCATTTCTAATTCGTGACTGTTTCGTGACTTTTTTCTTAGGCGCATTTCTAATTCGTCACTTTTTCCTTAGGCGCATTCTAATTCGTGACTTTTTTCTTAGGCGCGTTTCTAATTCGTGACTTTTTCGTGACTTTTTTCTTAGGCGCATCCTAATTCGTGACTTTTTTTCTTAGGAGCATTTCTAATTCGTGACTTTTTCGTGACTTTTTTAGGCGCATTCTAATTCGTGACTTTTTTCTTAGGAGCATTTCTAATTCGTGACTTTTTCTTAGGCGCATTCTAATTCGTGACTTTTTCGTGACTTTTTTCTTAGGAACATTTCTAATTCGTGACTTTTTTCTTAGGAACATTTCTAATTCGTGACTTTTTTCTTAGGAACATTTCTAATTCGTGACTTTTTCGTGACTTTTTTCTTAGGCGCATTCTAATTCGTGACTTTTTTTCTTAGGAACATTTCTAATTCGTGACTTTTTCGTGACTTTTTTCTTAGGCGCATTCTAATTCGTGACTTTTTCGTGACTTTTTTTCTTAGGAGCATTTCTAATTCGTGACTTGTTTTGAGAGAATTCCTAATTCTTGACACTACACTCCACGACACAAATAATGCGTGACCGTCCTTGCATTAAATAATAATTTTGCGATTTTTTAAAATAACTCTTTTTATGTGACAATAAATTTCCGATTCATTAAATCGAAACTAATTTTACAGTTAATTAATTTTGAAATAACCCTACATTTTCTTTATAAGTCAACCATTTGATAAATTTTTTTGTTTTTTATGTTATTATTTATTTATATATACTTTTTTCGCACAAAATCTAAGAGAAACTAGTTATAATTTTTCAAACAATGATTTTATTGGAATATTGCCATTAAAAATTACATTATATGACAGGAGACTAAATTACTTTCAATATACATTTATATATTAAAGATATATATACAAGACCGACAAGCGAGTATTTAAATCATAAAACTTACACGTTTTGCGTAATAAATAAACCGGAAATGAATTTTCAAGTTTCAATTTCTAGTCCCTGCTTATATATTAGCACAATAAATATACATGTATATATGAAATTTCATGCTTATTCAATTTTCACGATTTTAAGTGTTTAAAACTGTGAAAATATCACGACAGCTGCAAAATAATAATTCCTTTTAGCTTCAAATTCAATCTTCATTATACTATATACATATATATATATACCTATATGTATATGCATTTGTGGATATGTAGATGATTAATTTATTTACATTGGAGAGTAATAATAGCCCAGCGTTGACGCTCTTTCTATATATACATAAACACAAATTGCAAATAATGGCATGGAAAAATTTTTCAAGGTCACTCTTGAGGAAATACGAAAATGCTTTTTGTTATAAATTATTTAAAAGAAAAATAATAATTAAGATATGCGAACTATTTTGTTTTATACTCGGAAGCAATTTAAAAAAGCTTTGTCTTAAATTTAGTATAGAGCTTTTGATTTTTCTTTCAGTCTTCTAAGACCAATTGCTTCAAGTAAATATTTATTTATCAGTCAAATATCATTGTTTGAATGAAATAATTTTTTTTGAGTATATGTATAGAGGGATAAAATTAATTCGAGATTAAAACGAGGAAATTTAGGTTGATTTTTATCATAGTGAATATTCGCGAGAAGCATATTTTAAATGATGATGAAAGATAAATTAAGAATGATATTCGTTCCATGTAATTAAAGGCTGTGCGGTAGTAAATTTAAAATGAATAGCGACACAAGAAGAGCGGTCGTAGAATTCACAAAACCCTTATAGGCGAGCTAAATATCGCACAGGCCGTGCGCGATTGCGTAAGTAACATCTAGTCTTATGCACAAGTGTTGAAGTAGAAGACAGGTGCCTCTCTCAGAATTCTCGGTGTAAATGCATTTTCGTATGCACTGTTTTAGAAGCACTTGCGCCTATTCAAAATAGTTCCTCTTTCTCACTCTCTATTTTTCACCGCAGAGACCGCACAAAATTTTCCCCAAATTAAAATCTCCCAATAATACTGTTAACATTTTCTTTAATTTACAATATATTTAAATTAGAAAAAAATTCAATATTTTTGAATTTAAATAAAAATAGTCAAGAAAAAGAAAATATTTGAGAAATGATACAATTTTTTAATAAAACGGGAATAAAAAGATTTTTTTTTTTTACCAAAGATTTTGAATTTTAAAGATGAAAAATTGTGTGTCTTTCTTCATTTGAAAATTACATATTCAAAGGAGTTGAAGCATATAAACGTGTCTAGTCTTATGCGACACGATCAACATCATGAAAATTCCAGAGGTTCCTAAAATATACAACATGCCACAATACTATAAACCTAGAGGCTGCCAAGACCAATTTCATAGAGAAGTAAAGCTTTTACGTTTACATACACATAAAATATGTTAGTCACTTTACTTAATGAGATAAACATCAAGAAAATGCTATTAACAATTACCTTTCTACTAAATGGCCAACATCCTCCCGCATATAATATTTCCAAATTGCAAATATATGTTATGTACAGTTTGCGTAAAATATTATTTTCCTCTTATTTTTCATTTAAATTATTTTTTATTAAAATTTTGGCAAAAAAAAAATATTACTAAATCAAAAAGTAATACTACTAAAAATTAGTGAAAATTTCTACTAATTCAAATTTAGAAATTTTCTGAAAAAATAAATTTGTCTCCAAATAAATTTATTTGTCTAAATAAACGTATTTAAATCAAAAAATAATATTTATCTCAGAGACAAATTTAAATATATTTTTATCTAATTCAAAAACAAGTTTGAAATAAATAATTTCTGGATATAAAAATGTCAAAATGAAGATTAGTGTTAATGATAATAAATAACACACATATATATTTTGAGGGAGGTAGCCATATGGGAGAAGAGTTTGGGAAATCGAGAGGAAGAAAATCTGGAACGGTTAACACGCGCCTAACCTACCCCATTACATGTCTTGGCAGCTTCTTCTTCTTCTTCTTCTTCTTCTTTTTCTTCTTGTTCTTCATTTTTTTTTCTCATGAATGTAGTGCGGTAGGCCTGGCCAATTTTTACGTCAACCGGCTGTAAACATTAGAAACGTGGCTGCCAAAGCCGTGTATGTATAACCGTGTAACTCACATAGTGTTTCTTGAGCCAGCAGCCAAAAACTATGCTTTCGATTCATGAGTCAATTCAAGCCAGGTATCGTGTGCGTGATATAAACTTCCAGAGAGACCACGTGGAGAGAGAACACGTGCGTTTTTACTCCAAGAATGAGAATGGATTTCAAAACTCTTTTTTTTTTGTCAAAAACCAGTTGATTTTGTTGCAGGAATAATTGTGGAGTTTTTATTCGATTGAAATTATCATCGATTGGAGTTATTTTAAATTGGAATTATTATCCATTAGAAAAACTTTTGATTAGAGTTTGGAGTTTTCCTCTGTATTAGATCCTTACTTGTTTGGAATTAGCCGAACTATTGTGGATTCAAATAATTTTGTATTGGAGTTTTCTTCGATTGGAAAAGAATAATTTCGAATTTGAACATTTCTTCGATTGGAATTATCCTCGACTGGAGTCAATCTAAATTGGAATTATGATTCATTAGGATTACATTCGATTAGAGTTATTATCGATTGAAGTTTTCCTCAAGTAGATCATTTTTCCTTGATTGTAATTATTCTGAATTGAAAACTATTATCGTTCAGAATAATTTTGTATTGAAATTTTCCTCGATTGGAGTTTCCTTTGATTGGATTTAATTTCGATTACAATAATTTCCAATTGAATTTTTCCTCGATTGGAGTCATTCTCAATTTGAATGATCATCTAGTAGACTGTTTTTCGATCGAAGTTATCATCGATTGGAATTATCATCGATTGGAGTCGTTCTCAATTTGAATTATCATCTATTCGATTAATTTTCTATAGGAATCTTCCTCGATTGAAGTTTCCTTCGACTGGAATTATCCTCAATTACAATAATTTTCAATTTAATTCTTCCTCGATTGGAGCCATTCTGAATTTGAATTATCATCTATTATATTAATTTTCTATTTAAATTTTCCTCGATTGGAGTTTCCTTCGATTAGAATAATTCTCGATTGGAGTCAATTTTCAATTAAATTTATCGTCAATAAGAAAAATATTTTTCTAGATTAAAATTATCATCAATAAGAAGAATTTTTTTTCATAGATTGAAGTTATCATCGATTGGATGATTAAAAATTGCATTATTTGTATCATATGTGTTGACGTGTTCGAAGTGAGTGGTTAAGGATCGTTTGATGATGAGAGACAGCACATATATATATATATATATATATAAAGAAGGAGAATGGGTGTAAATACACGAGGATGAGATCGGTGTGTCGAGCATGTCATGGGGACCCAGTGAAATTGGCAAGACGTTCCAAGAAACTTTGAATCGAAGCCGAGTGGAGTATAGCGGTTGTTAGTTTGAATGAATGGTTGTACGAGAATGAATGAACGAATAAGCGGGGCCGTTGGCTCGAGACGAGAAAATGAATACTCGATTCCAAATCTGCTATATACGCGCATTTCATATATGATAGTAAAAGAGTAAAAAAAAAAGGGGGGAGGGGTGGAGAATTGGCGATTAAAAATGTATCGGACTTTCAGGGACAAACAAATTTTATCAGAACACATCGTTCTTTCTGTTTAGAAAAAAAGATTTAAAAAATTGTAAAGGTACAATTTTCTATTCTAGGATTTTTTTTTCCAATTGCTTCCTTTTCCTATGCTGTAATTTTGCGTTCGAATTTTTTCAGTTCCACGACACGCGAGTACTATTTTTTTTTTTTTAACGAAAAAATAGATGGGGAAAAAAAAATTAATAAGAATAATTAATTATTTACCGTGACTGGTAATGAAGTTGGCGAGATAGAGGTCGAGTTCCCGGACGGAGACATTGATGTGGTAAGGATTAACACAGAGACCCGGTTGAGCACATTCTGCAGTCTTTTCCAATCTTTCGCCGTCTGTCGATTCCAATGGAATCGCTTTAAATAGAATTACCATCACTAGGTCCAATCTCCATACCTGAGAAATAGAATGCCAAAAAAATTAAATTCCCACTACGGAAAAATAAATTATTATTAATAAATAAATTAGTATTAATAATTTTATCAATTATTATGAATTATTGATATTTACCTTGTCCGCTTGTCGCAGACAATCGATTCGACGCATTTTTCCCTTTTGATCAGGATTACTTAGAACACACATGGCCGGCCTTTTTCCCGTGATACTGAGGACAAAGTCCTCTCGATATTCTTGCGTTATATCTTTTCTTAACTTTCCTAGAAGCCGCGAAGCCCATTTTTGTTTTACCTCCAGTTTTTCGTTCTGAAACACAAAATAGAAGCAAAAAAAAAAAATTATTCTTAATTCCATAAATTCTTTGAGAGAAATTAGAAAAGAGAGATTTTTTTTTTTTGAAAAATTGAAGGCAAACGAACTCATCCTGACGTGGACAAGCGCGAGGAGAGTAGCGACGACCTCAAGAGTGTTATATGGTTTGAAACATATGCAGCGCACGCGATCGGACCTCTTGCACATGTGGAATAGTAAATACAGTGCACACACAAAGTCCCTGAGAAATGCATTGAAAGTGCATGGAATGCATCGATGCAGCACCAGTCACGGAGCGCTATCTATCCTGCCTAGCCCATGTGCACCTTGGAGCATTACAACATGTGAAATCTTCACTATATATATACATTGTATTTCCATAAAAAGAAAAAAATAGTAAAAAAAAAAAAAAAATTTATCCTGACGGAAATATAAATAAGATTTATATTTACTTCTCTTTTTTTGGGGATTAAATATTTATTTGTTTCAAATACAGAAATTATTTAAATATATTTTAATTGGTTCAAATAAAAATTAATAGCAAATAAATATTTGCTACTATTATTTTTTAGTCAAGTATACGATTATTTGAATTAAATAAATTTTTTTTTCACTGCAAATAAAAATTATTTTAAAACAAATAAATATTGTCTCTGGAGATAAATATAATTTTTTCCCTTTGGTGTTGGAATTTTTTTTCTAATTCAATTTTCATTGAATAAAAGTAGAAATTGGTGTTTAAAAAAAAAAAATAGATACACAGATTGTATCAATTAAAAATCAATAGGTATTCATGTGTGTTTGCACAGGGAGAGTGTTAGACTGTGAAAACTAACTCGTTATAAATGGCAAAGAAGGGGATATAATACTTACGGTGCATCGTGTGCATTAATCCTATCAAGTATGCCAAGTGTGAAAGAGTTTACGAATGTACAAGTATTCCGACAGGCGCATTACATATATAGGTGCGGTAGTTGACACTAGCGCACGAATAATAAATTTTTCTTTTTTTTTCTCTCTCTCTCCTTTCTTTTCATGGAAGGAAAAACTTTTAAATTTTCAAAAATTTTTATTTTATACTATGGAAAAAAATGAATTTCATTCAAATAATTCATTCAAGAAATATTTATTTGTATCAAAAAAAAAAATATATATTTTTTTAACCAAATAAACTGTATTTAAATCAATAATTTCTTTATTTGAAACAAATACCAATTATTCTCAAATAATAATAATTTGCATTTGAAATAATAATTATTTAATACAAAAAAAATAATTATTTAATACAAAAAAAATAATTATTTAATACAGAGAAAAAAATATTTACCAGATAGGTTTCACTAGAATAGCAAAAGATTTAACTGAAACAAGTAAAATTTTTGCTACTACAGTGAAACATTTCGCTGTTCCAGGTAAATATTATTTTTCCGTAAAGAATAATAATATTTAATACAAAAAATAATTAAATACAGAGAATAATTATTTAATCAAAATGTTTATTAGAGAAAAACCGATTATTTAAATCAAATAAATTTGTTTTTTCAATGTAAATAAAAAAACGTAATTTACATTAAAATTGTAAATTGTAATAGGGGGAAAAAAAACCAAATTTTTCACTCAATTTAAAATTTTAATTAGTTCGATAAATGAGATTTTGACTTTCTCTGATTTTCCGAGTGGAAATGATCATTGGCTATTGTCATATGACAAGCTATATAGTGAATTTTGAATAGTGGAAATCCAAATGAAACAGAAAATCCCCGACAGAATTTCGTTGCACCGGGATGTAAACAAGGGACGCATCAATTTATAAAGCGTTTAGAGAGAGAGAGAGGACATCGAAAGTGATCGATCAACGGACAGGATTGCGGTGAAATCGAACCTGGAAACTCGTTCCCAAAATTCTGAATGCAACGTTGAGTCCCCGTTTGATCGTACGATGAACATATATATACATGAAAATCCTGAACAATTTTCCGCAATGCGAACGAATAGTGGACAGGGCAAAAAAAAAAAAAAAATTTTACAAAAAAAGACAAAGAGAGAAAAAAAAATTAACCAGAAGTCGTAATTTTAAACTAGGAGGCCGGTTTTGGAGACAAAGCGAGATACGAAAGAAGGAGATTCTCAGCGATTATTGGAACGCGGAAGAGCAGACTGCACGTCTATTTCCGTTATACTTCTTTTCCTCCCTTCATCTCACGTTCACCAAATTCTATTTTTCAAGGGTTGAGAAAATTGAGAATTTTTTTTTTATTTCTAAAAAAAAGAATAATTCAAGAGAATATGATAAAAACTCCAATATGTTGAATTTAAAAAAAGGAACAATTTTCAAGAAAAAAAAAAAGAATTATATGAATTAACCCCATCTGAAGAATAAAATTTGTTTTCCTGACCTCTTGAATATATTTCTAAAATGTTCATTTTTATAGGTAAAGCCTATAAGTGTATAATGAATCCCTCCCCCTCTTTCTTCCACTAAAGATCAGTGTTAAGTACTTGGCTCTTGGCCAGGTCCTTAATTTCGGTCGCTATTAAAGAAAGAAAAGTTTGTTACGTGTAATATCTTAATTACATAACGAGAAATAGGAGACTTGTTTATTTAGATGAATTATTTATATACAAATAGTAATAATAAATAATTGTGCTTAAATATACAAAAAATTAATATAAATATATTCCTATAAAAAAAAATATATAAAATACGTAAATTTTAAGGAAATGAAATGATTAAACTTTTTGTTATAACTTTAGCAATCCAAATGTAAGTTTTATCCAAGTGTCATTTAATTCATTTTTATCTTAGTTTTATTCTTTCTCTCTTTATTTAATTGTAAATTTTCGTGAACTAGTTTAATGAAATTTGTTTTAAATTTTATCCGCTATGACAATATTTCTTTTTACAAGAATAATTGACATTCTTATATAATATTAATATATCGTTCGAAAATAATGTGAAAATTTCAAAACTTTGCCAAATTTATATTATAAAAGTCATAGCAATTTTTCTCAATTGCGCAGAGAATTTTAAATAATGATTCGAAAATTTAAAAGAAAAGTTTTTTTTTTTTGAATGAAATATATTATATTATTTATATTAACACAATTTTTTTTTTGGTTATTTTAAACAAAATTTGTTTGGATTCAAATAAAAAAATTATTGATTCAATTAAAGTTTATTTAATTCAAATAAAAATTATTTACTCCAATGAAATATTTATTTGACAATAAATTAACAACGATCATTTGTATCAAATAAATTTTTATCATTGTAGTATGTATAAATTTCAATAGTTATTATCATTTGTAAATTTTCAGAATGACAAGAAATTGTTCGTAATTTACATATATTATAAGAGGGACCGCGAGAGAGAGAGAGAGAGAAGATTTTGAAAATTTCTCTCAACCAGTGTGTGAATCCGAAATATCGTCAAAGACGACAAGGTACACACAGCACATTGCAAGGCACGTCTTGCAAAAGTGATAAAAAGCAATGGCGTTGCTCCGTTCCGTGGACACTGATTCTGACACTAACGCAAACGCAAAACGCGAACGCAACAGCTGCCACCGATTTATTTTGGATTTCGTTTCGTTCGTGCGGGACCATCGCAAATGTGTGGCGCTTTTTTGTATTAGAATAAGTGTTTGTAAATGTGCTTTTTGTCTGTGTGTCTATATATATGTTTGTACCAATTTATGCTCTTGTGTTTGACATACATACATATACAGAAACATACATGTATATCTACCTAAACATATATACAGTAAGTACATATACATATTTATACAAATGCAGTATGTACATATACATACTTATACAAATACAGTATGTACATACAGATACCTATACAAGTACAGTAATATATACTTATACAAATACAGTAAGTACATACAGATACCTATACAAATACAGTAAATACGTATACGTGTGTATATATATATAGGTTAACACACATGACGGTTAGATTCGCTGGTGTCCCTCTTTACAATGTCTTTCCTCATCCCTCGCAGCATCCCACAGAGTCTGACATAGTATTCACGCCCCGCAAACTCTCCCGACCGTACGACGTCATTACCCGACTTGCCCCGCTAACTCCTCAGCCTCATGGGCTATTTTCAAGCGCGGGAAATAAAGCGCAGACTGCATTTTTAGCCTAAGAGCGACGGTCAGCTCATTTTCGTCCTCTTCAACTCCTCTACACACCAAAAGAGTTATATATATATATTCCGGGAACAGTCTTTTTGATACTTCTTTTCCTACTTTTCTTTGCGCGGACATCCTTTTTTTTATAATCTTTTTCTCCACCCCAAACTATAGATAAACGCTTCCTTTCATAATGAGCTTCGAAAAGAAAAAAAAAATTGCATACTTGAGATTTTTACGTTAATTGATATTTTTCTTTAGAAAAGTAGGTGTAAAAATTTTAATTTTACCCTTTTTCGAGAACAGGAAATTCGAAATAAATTTTTCAATATTTTTTTCTGTATTTTATAGGCGAAATTATAAGTGTGTACCAAATTTTAGTTCTCTAGGTAAAAAATGTAAAATTATTAGACTGTTTTTTTCGTCTGCTATACACAAAACGCATGCGCAGATTTCCGCCATTTTTAATAATTCATCTCTCACCTGAGTTGCAACAGTTTGCCCGCAAGAGCGCTAGTATCGCTAACTAAAAATGACTCGAAAATAAAAAATTGTCGTCAAATTTTTCTGAATTATAATAATTTTCAGCACTAACTTTCAGTAAAAATAAATAATTATAATTATATAATGCGATAATTGCGCTAAAAAAAAATTTCGAATATTTTGTATAAATTCCATATGTCTAAAAGGAGAACAAAGAAATATTGTTTGATAAATTTGTCACATTCTAGGATTTTGTTTTGTTTTTTTATTTTTATTTTATTTTATCTTTTATCGCAGCATCATGAGAACTAATATGTGAGCCAAACAAGCGCACGAGGCTCTTTGGCTTCTTGTCAATGCATTTAGA